GACGCCCGCAAGAAGCAGCCGGCTGAAGTGGGGGGGCAGGTGAACCCCATCCCTGTCGAGGCTGAGTAACGGGGAGCGGGGGGGACACCCTCCTGCTGCTGCTGCGCTGCTCGTGCTCCCGCTTCCCAGGTGCGCACCGGCTCCTGGGGATCCCCAAATCTTTGAGCGCTCCCCGGCTCCTTGGGGATCCCCAAAGATGCTCAGCTCCCTGAGGGCTCCCCAGCTCCTGGGGATCCCCAAATCCACAAGGATGCTCAGCTCCCTGCAAGATCCCCAAATCCCTGAAGGTGCTCAGCTCCCTGAGGGGTCCCCAGCTCCCAGGGGCTCCCCAGCACCCGGAGATCCCCAAATCCCCAAGGATGCTCAGCTCCCTGGGGGTTCCTCAGCTCCTGGGGGGATCCCCAGCTCCTGGGGATCCCCAAATCCCCAAGGATGCTCAGCTCCCTGGGGGTTCCCAGCTCCTGGGGGTTCCCAGCTCCCAGGGGCTCCCCAGCACCCGGAAATCCCCAAATCCCCAAGGATGTTCAGCTCCCTGGGGGTTCCTCAGCTCCTGGGGGGATCCCCAGCTCCTGGGGATCCCCAAATCCCCAAGGATGCTCAGCTCCCTGGGGGTTCCCAGCTCCTGGGGGTTCCCAGCTCCCAGGGGCTCCCCAGCACCCGGAGATCCCCAAATCCCCAAGGATGCTCAGCTCCCTGGGGGTTCCTCAGCTCCTGGGGGGATCCCCAGCTCCTGGGGATCCCCAAATCCCCAAGGATGCTCAGCTCCCTGGGGGTTCCCCAGCTCCTGGGGGTTCCCAGCTCCCTGAGGGGGCCCCAGCTCTCCAAACAGCCCCCAATTCCCCAGGGAACCCCAACTGTCTGGGGGAATCCCCAGCTCCCGGAGGGGTCCCCAGGCCCCGCAGCCCTACGGAGGTGTGGGGGGGGCTCAGGCAGCTTTGCTCCCTGCACCGGCTCTCGCTGTTTTTTTTTGTCATTTCTGCGGTTGCTGTTGTAATAAAAAAATGGGAAAGGTACCGGCTCCCCCCACCTCCTGCTCCCCTGGGGGGGGGGCTGAGGTTGGGGTTGGCGGGGGGGGTTGTTTAAGGATAAATGGTGCAATTATGGGCAAACCAAAGCTGAAGCTGGGGTGGGGGGGAGTCCCTCCTGCTGTGAGGGGACAGGGCGATGTCCTCAGGGGATGTGGAGGGGGGGGGGGCGGGGGGGAACAGTCCTGTGCCCTCCTCAAATCATCCGTGGACCCAAGGGTGGGGTGAAGGTGGGGGGGGGACACACGCACACTTGTGGTGACACGTGGCCCCGCACTGCAGCTGCACAGCGTGTCCCAGAGGAGCCCCCAAAACCTAGGGTGACCCCCCCCACACACACACACCCTGACAAGGAAGGGGGGGGGGGCATTTCCCTCCTCCCTCCCACTCGTGGGTGCCCGGATGCGATGGGGGAACCACGCGCTGCTTGGTGGTGACAAATCCTTGAGCCTGTTGGGGACCAGCAGTAGTTCTGTGACACACCACACCTTCCCCCCCCCCCCCCTCCAATAAATCCTGGTCCGGGGAGGGGTGCAGCCACCCCAGGGCACCCATGGGTGCTGCCAGGGCCTGAGGGGTGGCCCTGGAAGGTGGCGCTGGGCCCGTGGGACGTGGGTGCCCGGGGGACAGGGCTGTGGGAAAAGTGTGGGTGGCGGGGTGCTGTGGGTGCTGGGGCTGCTCCCGCTCCCCCCAGGCCTGGGGGGGGGTGGTGTGTGTGTGTGAGGCACACCCCCCACCCCCCCCCAACTCCCCATCACCTCCCAGCTCCTTCCTGCCCTGCCGCACAGGGGGGCACTGGTGCTTTGCCCACGAGATGCCCCACGGCGGAGCATCGCCCCACGGTGGACACCCATGGATGTGTCCCCATCCCCATCTACCCGCCGCTCCCCCCCCCCCCCCCCCCCTTTCCCACCCCCTCCCCACCCTGACTGGGAACAGAGCAAGCACCATGCTGGGGGGGGTGCTGGAGGCGGGGTGTCAGCCTTTATTTGCGGGCTGCACGGTGCCAGGGATAAATAGCATGTACAGAGACAATAAATAGCTTGGGGGGGGGGGGAATAAATAAGCAGTGAGCCCCCCCAGGCAGCGCTGGGGGGCGGGGGGTGTGTGTGTGTGTTAAGCTGTGGGGCCTCGGGCACCATGGGGTGATGCTGGACCCGGAGTCGCAGCCTTGGTGGGGTGTGGGTGGGGGGGAATTAGCAATAAATATGGGTTAAAAAAAGTCCCCCGGCAGCAAGGCTTATAAATAAGTCATAAATAACAAGGTGGGGAGTGGGGGGGGTCGGGGGGGGGGGGGGGTGTGACACCCGGCTGCGTATGGGGTGGAGGGGGGGGGTGGGGGGGGGGCCGGGTGGGTGCTCTAAAACAAGCACGGGTGGGGGTGGATGCGGTGACACGGTCACGCTACGGGGCTCCACGGGAGCGGGGGGTGGGGGGGGGACAGGGGGACGGGATGGGTTTGGGGGGGGGCGGGGGGGGGGGGGGTTGTCTCAGCGCCCGGTGCGGGGCAGGACGCAGGTGCAGCCCACCGGCACCCTGATGTAATCCACCTCGAAGGTGACGAGCCCGGGGCCGGCGGGGTGGGGGCAAGGTTTGCGGCGCAGGACCAGCATGGTCTGGTGGATGGCCACCGAGTTGAGCGACGTCGTCTCCCGCCCCGTCTTGACGTCCACGCAGCCGCTGCAGAGGCACTCGGCGAAGGCCAGCTTGCGCGGGTAGCGGTTCTCATCCTCATCGATGCTGCGGGAAACACGGTCAGTGACCCCACACACACACACAAAAAAATCATATTTTGCTAGGTTCAACCCTCCCCCAGACAAACAGCGGGGATGCAGCGGGGAAGGGATGAAGGATGCTTGGGGGAAACTGAGGCACGGCGCAGCAGCCAACGTGGCGATGAGGGATGGAAAGGGAAGGGGGGGTGGTGGGGGGGGCTCACCGGTAGCGCCACGGGGAGATGGAGCGCTCGTGGGGTTCGCTGTGGAGGCCGGCGCGGAGCTGCAGCGTGGGGCAGGAGCGGTGGCGGCGGTGGCGGTGGAGGCCGGCGGCCTGGTCCTGCAAGCGCTCCAGTTGCGGCACCAGCTGCACCGGGCCGTAGCGGTCCCAGCGCAGGCTGCGGGTCAGGGGGGGCGCGGGGGCTTCGCCGTCGTCCCGCAGCTCGCTCGCGCTGTAGCAGCGGCCGTGGGGGGGGGGGGGCTGGGGGGGCGGCGGAGACCCCGGCACAGCCCCAGGGCGCCCAGTAGAACCAGTGCACCCAGCCAGTCCTGCGGGAGAACAACCGCCCCCCCCCAGGTCAGATGGGGAGGAGAAGGGGGGGGGGGGATGCACACACACACACACCCCCCACCCTGCACCCCAACACAGCCCCCACCCCCTGCCCCTCCTGGGGACACAGCCCAGAGCAGGGACATGCAGCCCCCCCCCCCCCCCCCCCTCCAAGGGGGCTTTGACATGCAGAGCACCAGCACACATGTGTGCACACATGTACATGCACAGTGCCAGCACACACATCTATAGACACAGCTCCCCCCCCCCCCCAAAGCAGCAGCACATGTATGTGCAGGTGTGTATACACACAGTGCCAGCACACACATCTATAGAAACAGCACCCCCCAAAGCAGCAGCACATGTATGTGCAGGCGTGTATACACACAGTGCCAGCACACACATCTATAGACACAGCCCCCCCCCCCCCAAAGCAGCAGCACATGTATGTGCAGGTGTGTATACACACAGTGCCAGCACACACATCTATAGACACAGCCCCCCCCCCAAAGCAGCAGCACATGTATGTGCAGGCGTGTATACACACAGTGCCAGCACACACATCTATAGACACAGCCCCCCCCAAAGCAGCAGCACATGTATGTGCAGGCGTGTATACACACAGTGTCAGCACACACATCTATAGAAACAGCCCCCCCCCAAGCAGCAGCACATGTATGTGCAGGCGTGTATACACACAGTGCCAGCACACACATCTATAGACACAGCCCCCCCCCCAAAGCAGCAGCACATGTATGTGCAGGCGTGTATACACACAGTGCCAGCACACACATCTATAGACACAGCCCCCCCCCCCCCAAAGCAGCAGCACATGTATGTGTATGTGCAGGCGTGCATACACACAGTGCCAGCACACACACACACACACCCCCACACACACCAGCTGTACATATACAGCAAATACCTGTACACACACACACATGCAAACAGAGAGAATACCTCTATGTACACACGCACACACACGTGCCAGCACACGTGTAGCTATGCCCAACCACACACACGGTACCGGCGCAGGCACCCGCTGCACCACGCACACGTAACGACGCCAGCACACGCGTGTAACATAGCACCCCTTAGTACCACTGGGTGTATGTACAAGGACGTATATACACACATATATGTGCCCCACCCTGCCCTCCCATGCGCATACAGCCCCACACACGTGTACACACATGTACCCCCCCCCCCCACACACACGTACACACAGAGGTGTCAGCCCGTGTGCACCCACCCAGCGGTAGCAGCACCTGTGCATGCAGCCATATGGCCAGATGCATACATGCAGAGGCACATGTAGATTACCAGCACACATGTATACACCTGAACGACCCTCCCATGTGCGCATGGGGACACACACACGTGTGCACACACACACACACGTGTGCACATACATCACTGCCCGGCTCTTACACCTATAGCATGCTATACTCCCCCCCCCCCCCTCCACCACCCCACGCACACGCAGCAGCACCCACCAGCCTCCACACTGCGCCCTCCCCCACCCCCGGCTGGGGAGCCCTTACACACGCGTGTGCACACCCCACGCACCCCCCCCCCCGATCCCAGCACCCCCGCAATCCCCCCCCCCCCCCCCCCCCCCCAAATCCCCAGGAGCCGGCGTTACCATCAGGCGGGCGGCGAGGGTGCGGGAGCACGCCGAGGGGGGTGAGGGGTTGGGGAGTTTTTTTGGGGGGGGGGTGACGGGGGGATGCGGGAGGGGGGTGTGTGTGTGTGTAGGGGGGGGTGTCCCTGTTACCCCCGGGGATGCGGGCGGCCGAGTGGCAGCACCGCCGGCGCCGCCGCCTTTATATAGAGCCGGGGCAGGTGATGTACACACACCTGGAAACTCCAGCTCCGGCTGCCTTCCTCCTCCCCGCGGGCCGTCACACTTCCTTCTCCGGGTTCCAGCCCGGAAATTAGTTGCCCACAGCCCCCCTAAAAAAATTTGCCCAGGTTTATAGGGAAGGAGCAGGGAGAGGGGGGGGGGGCTACCAGTTCGGCTGCCGCGGTGCTGGGAACAGAGCATCGCGGTGGGTGGGGGGGGTGGGCTGGGTGATGGTGGGACGGGGCCATCCCGTGGGATGCTCTGGGTACCCGGCCACCAGCGCCCCCAAACCTCCCGTGCCCCGTGGGGACAAGGATCCCCGTGCCCCAGGCCACGGCCACGGCCCCGGCCCTGGTTTCGTTGCGTAAACCCGCCGCTGAGCTCACCCACCCTCGCGTTCCCGGGGCTGCCACAACAGAAATCCCAAATTGGGCAACCTTGGAAAAAGGGCTCGAGGTCCGGCACCGAGGGTTGTCCCGGCGGCACCGAGGGCTCCACGCCAGGATGGTGCTGAGCAGGGCGGGGGGGGTGGAAGTGGGAAGAGGATTTGGTGGGACCAGAGGAGCCGGTTCAAGGGATGAAAGGTTGATTTTTAATTTTTTAATTAATTTTTTTTCTTCCCCTGCTCCGTCTCCTGCATGTAGCTATAGACCCCCCCCCCCCCTCATCCTCAGGGCTCTCAGGGACCCCGGCCCCCTGCCAGCACCCTCCTTCGGTGTGCAGGGAAAGGAGTGGGGTGTCCCCCCCCAGCAGCCCAGAAATCCCAGTAAAGCGGGAAGGAGGTGGGAAAAGCAGCTTTGCCCGGGTGCAGGACCCGGCCCAGCCACGCTTACGCTCTTTTACCAGAAAGACGGGATTTGCACCCGTTTGGGCAGTGACTTGGTGGGGTGTCACATCCCCCCCTCCCCTCCCCAAGCAGGGACAAGACACTGAGCCTCCCACAGCAGCACAGAAATGGGGTGCAGGGACCCCACCCTCATCCCTGCCCCCTCCCCAAGGTCAGGATGAAGCCCGAGGACCCCCCCCCCCAAATTGTGCTGGGCAAAGCTGGCTCCGGCAGAGCCCCCCACTCGTGTTTAATACCAGTGGGGCTACTGGTTTAATACTGGGTGCAAAGAGCAAGGTGAGGGCTGGAGGTGCCACATCACTGGGGGTTCACGGGGGGGGGGGGGGGGTTAGGGGCACCCGGCCCCCAGAGGGGTGGCAGCTCTTCCAGCAGCAGGAGAAAAAGAAAAATAAATCACACACCCCAAAGATGGGGGGGGGGGACAGGCCCCCCAAGGCAAGGGAGAGGGAAGACAGGGGAGGTAGAGAAGAGTAGAAAAAGGAAGAACTGGTTATCAAAATACTTTATTTCAGGGACATCCCTCAAAAAAAAAAAAAAAAGGGAAAAAAAAAAAAAAGAATAAAGAAAAAAAGAGAAAAAAGGACCCTCCTTGTTAGACAGACATCTCCACAACACCTTCAGGGCTCCTTTTAAATCAACTAAAACAATCCGCTGCTTAAAATAAAAGACAGGTCATTTTCCCAATCAGACTTTAGTCAAGAATATATATATATTTTTGTTCCTGGGGTGGGAGGGCAGGGGGGAAGAAGGTGATGTTGCCAGCAGTTCACAGCAGTTTTCGGCTCTCTCGTTACACAGCAGATAGAACTGCATTGCTGAAGACACTCAACACACAGCAGGGCTAACTAGGAGAATACAACTCAAGGCTAGCAAAGAGGGAGAGGGCAGAGAGAAAGAGAGGAGGAGTGAGAGCAGCCGAGGGGGCTGGAGTCCTCTGTGCATAATTTACATGGAACCGGCGGTGGCAGAGCCGGGGGGGGGGGGGGGGGTGGCCCCGCTCGCCCTTCGGGAGCCGGAGCGAATCGTCGCGGGCGTCTCAGCTGACAAAAACTTCCAATATTTTTTTTTGTTTTGTGTGGGTCTGTTGTGTTTTTTTTTTTTGTTGTTTGTTTGTTATTTTTTTTTGTTTGCTTTTTTTTTGTTGTTGTTGCTGCTGTTTTTGTTTTGTTCAGTGTGTTTCTTTTTTTTTTTTTGTTTTTTGTTTTTTTTTTTTAAAAAGAATCCCGGCCAAAATAAGACAGAACTGCAAAATCCCAAAGTGGCTGCTTTTACACTATTTATAAAAACATGAACAGTCACTAAGGGGGGGTGAGGGGGGGGCGGGGGTGGGGGGGTAGGCAGAGCGGCGCTCCGCGCGCGGCCCACTATACTTTCCCCGGGATTTTGGCCCGCTTGCGAGCGATGGCATCTTCCACCGCCTTGAGCTGCTTCAGGAGCTCCTCCCGTCGCGACAGGGTGCTGGACTTGCCCGCCTTGGCACCCGTGGGGCCCGGCTCGGACGCTTTGCCCGGTACGCTCGTGACTTTGCTGGAGCTCTTGGATTGAGGCGAGAGCTGGCGTTTCCTGGCAAGGAGAGAAAGGAGGTGGTGAAGGGGGAAGGAGGGGGACACACACGCACGTCGCGACAGAAACAAACCCAAAAATCGGCATCGCTGCGGCGGGAAGGATCCTCCTGAGCACCCGCAGCTCCCCCCGGGGAGGGGGGGGGGGGATGTGTGTGTGCGAGGGGGATTGTGGAGACACAAGCAAAGAGGATGGGGAAGAGCAGGGCAGCCCCGGAGCGTGTCCCCTCCCGCCCTCCCCGGTCTCAAAAATCATCACGGGGGGTGCAGCCGCTGGGAATGGGGTTCACTGGTCCCCGCAGCTGGCAGCAGTGTTTTTTTTTTTTTTTTTTTTTTTTCTGGGTTGGGCTGTGACCGGGACCGGCCTTCCGCTGGGATGACGATGGCAGGACCGGGAAGAGGAGATCGGCATCACGAACGCGCCCCGGCCGGTTCCAAGGACTTAAAAAAAAAAAAGTTTTATTTGGGAAAGCCTGTGCCCCTGCTGCTGCCAGCCAGAGGAGCGGCTGGTGGCAGAGGGTCCAAGACCCAAGGATGTGGTCACAACCAGTCTGGAAAGGCTTGAGGTTCCTCTTCACTGCTAGAAAAACAGGACCTCAGGGCCTGAAGGAGGATAGGGCTGGGGGAGCTGGGGCTAGGCTCTGGTTTGGGAAGGCTCTGACACGCAGAAATAGAGATTTGGTCGTGCCCCAGGCTGGGGAGAGGGGATGGCATGAGTCCTGCTGGCCGAGGGGATGCGGGATGGGGCCGTGTCCGTTTGGCTCACAGAGATCCTCGGAGAGATGACACTAGGGAGAGGCAAAAGCAGCGCCGGCTGGCTACGGGCAAGGAGGAGAGGGGAAGCTTCAGGCGTGCCGCAGAGCGCGCTCCGCAACCCGTCAGGCAAAGGGCTCCGAGCGGAGCACAGCCCGAGGCCCCTGCAGCCACACATCCAGCTCTGCAGCGGGACCTTCCCAGCGGGGCGGCGAGCGTGGACTGCCCAAAAATGGGACGTGAGCCGGTCACCTGTCACCGGAGGGGACGGGGAAGCGCAAAGCCGGGACCGGTCCCCGTTCAGGTTCCTGCAACGGCCCCGTTTTAACGTCTCACAGCGGCAAAACGGGCGGCTGAGGGTACGCCAGGCTACGTAAAAAAGGGAATTGGGCACCCGAGCTCAGCAGCGGGGTGAAGGGGCTTGTGCTTTCTTTCTCATTAGCACTACGCAGCGCGAATGAGTGGGAGAGGCGCTGGCATGACTGAGCTTGCACCTAACCCACTTGGCTCCTCTCGTTGGGACTGACCTCAAGAAACCCCCAGGCTCCTGCTCGTTTCTGAGCTGGAACAGCTTGGCTGGTGGCTCCCCCCGTGAATCCCTGAGCGCTCCTGGCTCCTGCCCAGGGAGCTTCGTGTCCTTCCTTCTCCTCGTGCCTCCACAGAAACTACGGCCAGGGAGCCTCCGAGCTGCCCCGAGAGGAGGGACCAAACCGCTGGAGGAGTGTGAGCCCCAGCCTGGCCCACAAGAGACCCACGAGAACGAGCAGGCACTGACCTGTCCGTCTGCGCAGGAGAAGGTTTCGGGTTCTGACCCCTCTGTCGCTCTTGCTTGGGTGAAGAAAGTCTCCCGGTTGCTTTCCTGTCGCGAGAGCCTATCGGGACAATAAATGGTGAAGACGTTCTCGCTCGTACGGGGCGCGCTACCCCTGCCCCTGCCTAGCGAACGGATGCTCTCTGGAGACCGACCGGATCATGCCAACGCGAGGCCAAACCCAGCAGCAGCCGAAAAAGGAACCTACCCTCGCGCGCCCCGTCGTCAGGGGGAGCGGAAAAACTAGCCAAGGGTGTGCCCCATGGTCAGCCCCGCCAAACATCGCCTGCGGGGAGCCGCGCCGGCCTCTCTTCCCCCTCGGGCTGCTGGAACAAGGCTCCTCCGCTGTGATTTCAGGCCTATGTTTGCAAACCCGTGGGGCAGGGCCGGCGCTCCATCCTCCGCTCGGTGTGCCACGGGCACGGCGGCACCCGGGCTGGCTCCGCGCCGGCCCGGTGACAGGGCGCGTCGGCGGGAGGAGCGCGGGGGCCAGCGCAGCTCTCGGGGGCCGACCCACCGGCAGCATCGCCCCCCGTGGTTTGTTCGGCACAGGCTAAAACCCTCGTGGCCTGCCCCAACGGAGCTGCCGTGGGGCCCACTCGGGCCCTGCAACGGCGTTATCCTTGTGGGTTTCCCCACTCGAGTGCTTTTGCTCAGTCCCAGTTCAGTCAAGGGTACGCTTGCCATGGGAAGGGGGGTGAGGCTGAGGTGCCTTCAGGGCTCGCGTCCCCTTTTGCTACTGCTTAAAAATGCTTTATAACAGAACAGACAACAAATAAAGTACACAAGTACATCTACAGCCGTGTGTCTGTAAAATCAGCACGGTTTGCTAGGTTGGCCCATCCATTTGTCTGCAGCCCAGCAGTAGCTGTGAACTAGATCCCAGTGAAC